TCGCTTTCCTTCACGTCGATCTCTGCAGGGCTAGAGAGATTCTTCACGGCTTCCTTTTGCTCATCGGTGAGCTTCCTGACCTAAGATGTTGATGTTATACTGATTCTACGCTAAAAGCCGGAGAGTCACAGAGCTGAAAGATTGGGCAGCCAGACACGGTGAAGGCGCCCGTCTGCGCCTCGCACCGCCAGCCCTCGCACCACTGCACCTGGTACAGAACCGTTTTCCTTGGGCGCACTCACAGCAAATGAGCGCAAATAACACTGCGTTGTTGAATTTGTACTTCCAGAAGCTTACGGTCCAAGGTTCCGGAACAACAGAGCAAGACGAATCGGCCCTCTTCCTTGGACACGCGCATGAAAAAGAAAGAACGCTTATAGTGGGATGGTTTTAGAGTGGAGTAATGGCGCCTAGGTTCATTTGGTCTTTTTTTGGTCCCAATCCTGGCAAGTCTTCTAGCTTCCGTTGTTCTGGCCCAAGTTCTGCCTCTGTTGGTAGGGTGTCCTCGTCTGCACTTGCCCTCTTGCCCCTCGCCTTGGCCTTTGCTTTTGCTTTAGCCTTCCCCTTTGCTTTTGCCTTTGGGGGCCACGTTGGCCAAAGCAGCAGAGTTCTGTTCATTCTTTCCCTTGCTTGAGCTTGAAGCACCTGACGTTGAATTCACAGCCGCTCTGGCGGCTTTAGCCCCTTTGAGCTCCCGGATCTCTTCAGGTGTGAAGCCTTCAGGATAGCCATCTCCTGCTATGTACAACTTTGTTCTTGCTTTGCTCATTCTGTCTTGATTCATGGCGTTCTTGCGTTGGATCTTCTTGCCACTAGCCGTGTCCTCTTCTTCTTCTGCCTCTGAATCATACTCACCCAGAACGAGGGTCCGCTTCTTCAAGAGTCTGGCTGTCTTCTCATCCTCCACCTCATCCTCATCATCCCTTCCAGCCTTCTGTCGCTGCTTCGCACTCACCTGGGCATCTTCCTCTTCCTCCTCCACTTCACGCTTCTTTCGACTGTCCTTCTTTGCTCTGGCTGGACACTCTTCCTCTTCTTCATCTTCATCGCCTTCATGCTTCTTCTGCTGTCTTTTCTGCGCCTTATCCTTCTTCTTACTGCCATCTTCCTGGTCATCCTTGTTCTTCTTTTGCTTCTTGGTTCTGGTTGAGTGCTCTTCCTCCACTTCATCACCTGTTTCCTTCTGATTCTTAAGCTCCTCGTCATCGTCGTCCTTCTTTTGCTTCTTCGTTTTGGCTGAACCTTTCCCCTTCACTTCACTCACATCTTCATCAGTTCTCTCCGTCGGGCTCTTCTTGCTTTTGGTCGAGAGCTCCTCTTCATCAGTCTCCTTCTTATGCTTCTTTGCTTTGACCTCTTTCTGTTTAGGTGGAGGTGTCACTTCGGCTTCATCACTCCTGGGAAACTTCAGCCGCTTGGGCTCCAGCCACCCACTCCCTTCAACCACACCGGTGATGGCAAGGTCGGCTGTTTTCTTTTGTTCTTTCTTTTTTCAAAACCTTGTGAAGGTGAGCTTCTAGCTCCTCTTCGCTCATATTCTTTGTCTCTTCATACAGAGTCCCCCCAATCCAAGCTAGGCAAAGCAGCTTTGGCAGCCGATGTCTTGCTCGTGCATCTCATCAAAGTAGGCTTCTCTGGCGTGATCAAGTCTTCTACTGATGGTGTTTTCTTTTTGGAGGAACTGCCACGCTCCTCAGCCGGATCCCGAACATTGAAAAAACGTGACGTTACGAATTTCACGCTCTTCCACGATTAAGCTACACATGGATGAGCTATGGCTACCACTACACGGAAAAACACGGTTTTTCACGTTTGCCAATTTTGAGGGCACATGGTCTTGACCAGGGTTAAGTCGCAAATTTTATGTCATCGTCGCAAATTTCATGAAATTTCATGAAATTTCATGGAATTTCATGGAATTTCATGAAATTTGCGATCCTAATGTGCAGCCGTGCTTCCATCGTCGCGCAGACTATATATAGTCAGCTTTGGGCGGAAGAACTACGCTGAAATCAGCTTCCATCAAAACGTATATGTCCAGGCGTGTATATATATATATACACACATGTAACTACATATATAGACATGGGCAAAACCTCATGAGCTATATAGACAGTGCGAAGCAGCTGAGGAAGTGAAGCAGCTACATGGAAAAGTACCTTTGCAACCTGGCACGAAGCTGTCAGTCGAGGATTCCGGCTAGTTCTGAATCACTACTGTCGTCAGATGCGTCGTCTTTGAACTCGAGCTCCCGCTCATCGACCAGGGTTGGGGAACCCTTTTTTCTTCCTAAGCCGGGTCGGCGCTGTAGTTGGAGGAAAATAGAATGGAGGTGTTGCACACGTTAGTCAAAAGCCAAGTTGCAAGTTGTCAGAGAGAAGGCGTCCCACCTCCAGGATATGAACTATCAAACTTCCAATCCACAGTATAATGATTGTTGGTGACTGGATGTGACTGGCCTTCAACCCGAACCCTGCCGGGTATGCTGCTGTCTTCCGTAGATCCTTCCCACCTGCCTCAATGATTCAGTTTTAAAACCATAACGTTTGCAGACCAAGACAGGCCAACCTGCCCAGACTCATGAAAACACCGGTGCTCGGATTCGAGTGCGACGAAATCCCTTCGGAAGGGCGATAAGGTTTTTGGCTTTTGGGGCGCCCTTATGTCAGGGGGGTCACAGTTGCTTTTTTACATGGTTCAGTCTGAGGGAAAATATAGCACTGAAAGACCATTCTTGGGCTGGGGCTCGAACCACTTTCTGTTTGTTTGTCTTCTTGTCAATGTATTTCTTGACAGTCTGGATGTTGAGGCGGCTCTTCAATCTTGCCAGCCTCTCCCTGCACCAACAGGTTGAATTTGAGAACACGCTCTAAAACGAAAGGCCCAAGAGAGGTCAAGAGGACGCCAAATAATTAGGGAACTACAAGGACGCTACTAGTAGCTCCTGGCCTTACTACTAGTCACAAGGATTCTTATGGCGCCTTTCGTTTTTTGTGTCCTTTCAACCTTTCCTGATATAAGCAAAGGCTCTCAACATGTTTTGTAAACCCCAGACTGTGCGCAGTCCAATCGTTTCTGGTTTATATATATATTGTGACAGGGCCTGTACTCCGTCCCAGATGCCTTTGGAATGGGTCAACCGGCTTACCAAGCTTCCGCAGGTAGGGGCAATTCGTAGCCACCACAATGGGTTTCCTCATCAAAAAGCAAAAGGATCCCGTATTTGGACATTCCACTTCAAGAGGCTGACATGGAAGTAGTCAGTCAAGTGTTTCAGAGGTTGTTCAACTTCCACCGGGGCACTCTGTCTCTGCACCATATGCGCCCAACCGGACGCTCAGGAAGATCGTATTGCGGCGCATCAGAAGCCGCTGGCACGATCAGCTGATGTTCCAAGAGAGTCTTGACTGGTTTCATTTCTTTTCAAGTGGTCAACAGTGGCCCCGCCTTCAGCGGCTTATACTCCCACAGAAGAGAACTTTGAGGTTGTTCTATGGCATAGAAAGCGTTCTTCTTGGCCACGAACTCTATTCTGAGTCAGGCAGTAGGGGTCGGCCATTACTGTTGCAAGGGTGCAAAAGGTCACGAGACAAGGAAGAACAACACGCGCAGCCAAGGGTCAGCAAGCACAGCCGGCGAATGAGCCTGTTAGCGCGTCTCACCTTTTTGTAATGCCGGCGTCCTGCGGGCTCAATCCCACAGCTCTAAAGCAGATGCGGCCTAGTCAGTACTTGGAAAAGCTTTTGTGGAGATAGCTTGTTGACAATGGGTTAAGGCGTGCAAAGCGTCCTCTAACTCGCGTCAAGGATCGACCTGTTGTCCCTTGAGCAAGCCACACCCATGTAGAGCATGGCGGGCCGCTCCAGTAGAGGCCATACTCTCGCAGGGATCGTAACTGGGAGCCATGACACATCGAGAGGACACCATACATGCAACCCCTGCAACCCCCACTAAAGAATGGCTAGAATGGCTACATACCAACTGTAACGCTGAAAGTCTTCAAGACAGCTCAATCACATATAGCGCCAAGCTACAGCTTGCAAAGCTGCCAAAAAGCCCAACCCAGAAAGCAAATTGTAGCCTGCGTCATAGAGGACCTTAGGAATACCAGCGCAGCTCGAAAGTTGAGTGTGGGGTTTTTTCCATTTGATTTTGCTTACGGTTTACGACACCATAAGTATCCACAAGTCCTAGATTTCCAAAATTGTTGGCCAGGGGCAGGGTTACACATGGTGCCAACCAATTGCAACTGCCCACGTGCAGCTAGGGCGCGTCCCGTTTCTTTGCAACCAATTCGAACTGACGAACCCCAGCAGTCAACAAACCTTGCCCTGCAAATTCCTCTTGGAAATCAGAGCAGCCGTTTTCAAGGCGGCATGGCCCAAAAGAGGCTTGTAGAACACACAAAACCGTTGCAAGGCAGCTATATTTCATAGCTCTGCGAACCCAACCCCAACTAAGCCTTGCCAGCTGCAGGGTGGAGCGTGCGTTCCAATACGAACGACTAAACAAAACTCAGCGCAATCACAGAAGGCTCGCATATGGCTAGAGCAAAACTGGCATGGCGGGCCTTCATTGGGGACCAATGGTCGCTTTCTGCCTGACGCCGTGCACCTGTAGCACGGACAAGCGCGCATTTACATTGTTGCCCTTTGTGGTGAAAGAATCGAATCTTGCGCGCAGCCCTTTAGGGTTTTGATTCGTGTTTTCCCCTCACAGTTGAAGTGCGTCGTGTTCTACTAAGTGACATTTTGACCTTGCAAATTTGCAGGCCATACCCAAAAGCTGCTTTGTTCTACAAAGCACCTAGAAAGAAGCCAGGCTCAAGCCTCAATCTAGTACCCCTTGAAAAAGCGGAGCGCGCTGGAAAGTGCATCTGGAATATTTTGTTGAACAAGAACAGCGCTCCACTGCAACTAAGAAATCGAAAAGCAAATCACTATGGGCTCTCAAAACCTTCTGCGTCGACGTTCTGGCGATGGCAAAGACTTCACAATGGCCTGTCGCTCAGCAGACTTCATCCATACAGCCTGCGCACCATGATAAGTCAGTTTGGGGTTTTTGCTCCTCAGCTGGTCAATGAAAGCCTTCTTTGCGTGGTACATGGGCCCATCAGGCGCTGCTCGCTTGCCAGTGCCCTTGCCCTTTCCATTCTTCTTCTTTTTGGAGTTCTTGGGGATGCCTTTCGCTTCTTCCCGCTCTCTCTTTTTCTGGGCAGGGAGCTCTCTCTTCTTCACTGGGTCAACTGGCTCAGGTGTTTGTTCTGGAACTTGAAAGTAGCGCTGCTTTGGGATCACCATCGCATCTTTCACACGTGCACGCTCCGAATGACCAAGCTGCATGCGCATCAACTTGGCTTTCATGAGACGCACCACCTTCGCGCTGTACTCATCGGTTGGAGCAAGTTCTGGCTTGGCCTGACGGCGGCTAGTCTAGTAGCTATAGTAAACAAATGTTTTTTTGTTTTGATGTAGTGTTGGCTTGCAGGTTTCCATGAAACCTCGAACGTGTCAGCCTCCTGCTCCTCATCCGAGTCCAATTCCGCCGAAGCATAAACTTCTTTGTCTAGCTCCATGTTGCATCTCTCAAACTCGGCCTTCGGTTCTGTGTGTTTTGAAGGTGGTTCACGACCCGTCCAGAAAAAGGAAAACAACCCTAGAGAAGGAAACATGCTGCAAATATTGGTGGCATGGTCAGCCAGCCTCTGTGGGCGGCAGCTTCCTCTTCAAACCTCGTGGCAAATCCAGGTCCTCAAGTGGCGTACTGTGTAGCTACAGCTATAGCTTGTCACCATCAACATGGAAACTCAAAATTGCAACCCAAAGTCCTGCAGATCCTCTTGGGCTTGGTCAATGCTCCAGGCTTGCTCGTAGATGTCTCTCAGAGCATTTTTTCCCACCTCGAGTTCCTGACAGATTGAGGAACTTGAAGGGGGCGATGGTTTTTGGAACTGTGCGTTTGAAGACGATGAACCACTTGCGATCAATCTCTTCAAGATCATGTCTACCGGCCTGCCGAAAGGGGTTCAGCGGTAGCCTCTTTCTTGGGTAGAGCTTCCCAAACAAGTTGATAAAGCGCGCCATCCGCTCTCCAAGGTCACGGCCCCCCCTGGTTCTCTGCAAGGGCCCACATCTCCTGTGCAGCAATGTCAGCATAAATTAAACTGGTCAATCTGGGAAAGCTTCACAGAAAGCTTCACACATTGTACGTTACAGGCCTTTTTTCATCAAGGCCCGATCATTCGTGTCCTCGTGCGCCAATGCAAACAGTTAAGAAAAAACTGGCTGTTTGTTTGATTTGAAGTCAACTATACAGACACTCCTCACCAATTTTGCTAGAATGTGGCTCTGCATGGTCATCCTGCCAAACATCGAAAGGGATCGAGCCCGGGAGGGACATCCGCAGAAAGCATGTGAACCTGTCCTGGTCAACATCATGTTGATCCCAGATCTGGTGTAGAAGATGTTTTTTTGCCGTCAATCTCCTGGGCCGCGTGCAAAATCCACCATCAGCCCCCACAACCCCAAAACACTTGCAATAATTGGCAGTATGAATATTCATGTCCGACTTGTTCCATGGAAAATGGCCCGCCTCTTGAAATGGGTTTGGCGGCAGCCTCTTTCTTGGGTAGATCCTGCCAAACAAATTCATAAACTTCGCCATCCGGTGTCCAAGTAGGTGCCCAATCTGGTTCTCTGTCAAGGCCCACATCTCCTGGCCAAAAAAAAATAGTTGACCAGTCCATGTTTGTATACACATATACATACATTCATCGACCACCGCAACCCACAAAACAGATCCCACGACCTGCTTGGCTTCTTCCAATCCGTTTAGGTCCTGGCCGTCAGCGTGGCCAAAAAAAAGTAACCCACGACCAATTTGTTGAGTTTTATAGTTTCAGACTACGCCTCTTCATCAATGGGGCCCCAATTCTTCTCATAGTTGTTTTCATCGTAGTCCCAAGCCTGCCAGTGACCGTGCAAGCGCTATCTAAGGAGAATTGCAATTGGGCTGCGCCTGTCCCCTGCCAGCGTGGTCGTCATCGTCAGCCTGGCTGGCGGAAGCTTGGATCACATGTGGGTTTGGGCGTGGCAGGTCAAACAAAAAGAAACTGTTCATGGTGTGGCCTCATCAACCTGAGATTCCTGTTCTTCTTGCGCAGGCTCCGCGAGGTCCTCTTGGACAGCTAGTGAACAATGGTAAGCGGGAATGGAAGTCTAACGAGACGCAGGACCATATAGAACCCACACAACATGTTTCTGAGGATTCTTCCTCATCCAGCAGAGGCTCACCATCAATGTCGCTGTAGGTGTCCTGGCATGGGGATTGGGTCATTGAATTGTTGGCAGGCATTTTTCAAACTGGTCAGCCAGCCTCAACAATTGGGTCATCAGAAAAGGCGTCTTCATCCTCTTCTTCAGCTGTAGTAGAGACCAAGTCTGCACAGTCCTCCCAAGTGGCGTGAGGTTTTGGGGGGTTGCGGGCTGGTCGATTGAAGTCATTTCTCTTGGACATGAAACCCGTGTCCTCAGGGTACTGTAGGGGTGGGCCATCATAGTCCTATGGGAGTAATGAAAGCAAAGGCGATGTAAAGTCAGCTGACTCACTAAGTGAACCGTCCTCGATGGCCAGCGTGTCGTCCTGCGCGCTTACACAAATCTTAGTCCTCCTGTAACCGTGTATCCAGCTAACTGTTTTACAGGTCCTGGTCACCCATTGCTTTACAGCCCCTTTGCGCCTTATCTCACTGACTGAGCCAGCTGCTTGCAACACGGCGCGTCACCACTGACCCCTTATACCCATCACCCAACATCCTGGAATGGAACTTGAAACAACACGTAATCAATAAAGAGGGGCTCCAAAAAATCACTTAACTATAGTGGGCGCGTTATTCCAGGATGTTGGAACTAAAGAAGCAAACCCTCTCAGAGTGGCCTAGATGCTTGCAAAACTTGTCTGGAAGCAACCCGTTTTGCATTTCTCATCAACTTCTGGAATCTGGACGCTTGAACTGCGATGTACTGGTCAAGCGTTTGCTGTGGGTCTCGTGCAAGGCCGAAAGGTAGCTTCTTGATAATCTTTTTGAGTACCAGCTTCACCAAGCGCTGAGTGAAGAAACGTTTGCCACTGCATTTTCCCAAACTGGCAAAACTCACCAATCTTCGAACATAGGAGTTTTTTCAGGTTTTGACGAGGAAATATGGCACCAGTTTGTTCCACCCTCTCCATGTCCAAAGCTTCCAGCACCAAACCTGCCACGAACTCCGCCTTCTTGGCCCGATCATGGCATTGCTGTTGCCTCCTTCCATCTGCCCTCATTGGCGCAGATTAGTAGGTATAGAGCTGAAACGTTTCTTGGAAATATATAGTAGCCCGTTCATGCTTTTGTGGTCAGTTGTAAAAAATAGGTTTTGTAGATTTCAAGTATATATTTATATAAATATATATCTTGTGTTTCCTACATATTTATGTTTATCTTATGTAAAATACAAGTGTATATATCTTATGTTTCACCCCTGAGCCTGAAAAGGCGAGAGAACACTTGGGTTGGACATGCCGGACATGCAACGATCGATCGACAGGTTGAGAGACCTGATAGGACCCTGTAGTGCTACATATGGGGTGGGCTATCGGTCTGTTCAGCCTCTCGAGGCCAGCAGCCCCTAGTATAGCGTCCTTGCTCCTAGTAG